CCCCCGCGTTGCGCAAACGGGGGGGGGGGCCCGCCGCCACACTGCTCACCGGACCTGAAGGGCGCGGTCGGTGTCAGCAATGCCTGCCCTGGCGGGTCCCCCCTTCCCTCCCACCCACCCCAATTTCTGTTTTGACACGATGTGCTCTGGTACCTGTTTGCTTCCCACAGGCAAAGCCCAACCTCTGTGGTTAAACCCACCTTCACGTGGCTTCTTCTGTGACCCGGCTTATTTCCCTCCCGTACATCCTCGGCTCTTCGCAGCCAAGATCTCCCTGAGGAGCAGGACCTGCAGAGTCACGGAGATGCCATCGCTGCTGCCAAGGAAGCTATCAAGGCCAAGGGCATCCAGTGGCCAAAAAAGTCTTCGTTCTCTTACGCTGCTCATTATTCACCACCTGGACTTTGCAGGATTTTTGCACAGTATGAAGAGCAAAAGCTCAAAGGGTTGGTGGATGCAAGCGGGCAGGGCTCGCAGGGACAGTGTCTTCCCACAAACCAGCGGATAACAGCTGGAAAAGCAAGCTGGAAGGCTCCTCAGCTTCCAGGTCCAAACTTTTACTCCAGCTCTAGAAGGTTTTTCTGTATTCAAGCTAACTCATCACCTGCTGCGAGAAAGAGAAGATTGCAAAGGGTGAGAGCAGGTAAGGGCCACCAGTTCCTGTGAGAAGCAGAGAATGACAGCCTGTAGACTGAGGGAAAGGGGAGCACCGAGAACACCCGCATCCCTCACTGTCATCAAGTCAAACAGGCTGGAAAACACTGAGTTCCTTGTCACAAGGACAAGGATCAACAAAGACGTAAGCAAAGACTTGTGGGGATCAACAAAGACTTAAGTGAAAGTCTCACAAGCTGCGATAAACTGTGGACCAGGGCGAGCAAGAAGCACAGAGCTGAGCAAGAAACATTCCTGTTGCCCATTTCTTCCCCTCCTACCAAGGGAACAGCTCTTCCACTTTCCCCCCCACGCACACACTTGCTCCTGAGCTTTAAGGAATGAGCCCAAGGCAATTCTGCAAATTCACTTATCTCAACCTGTAATTGAAAAAGCTATTTAATAAAGTTACTTAAACCCCGAGCAGCTCCGAGCGCGCAGCAGCTGATGAATATGCATGTCCTGGGATTTACACTTCGTGGCAGGGCGAAGACAGGATGTCAGGCAAATGAGTTATGAGAAGCGTTGCCTATGCAAATGTTCGCGCTGCTGGGACTTCTCGCTGCGATTCTCGTCCTCGGAGCCATTTTTGTCATTCTCTTATTTGCATTGGAAATGTCGTCACAAAGTAACGTTAACTTTTTAGAAGTTGGTCCTGTTTCTATGCGGGCAGGATGGATTGCTAAATATATCTGCAACAGAGCGGAGTCCTGAACTATCAGCGGACAAAAAAACCCAAGTAAGTCCAGGCCATGCAATTTTGGAGTTTTCCAGAACCATGTCTCCTTCGTTTAACTTCCCGGTTCTTACCTGAACAAGACTTATTATGAGACAAAACGTCGCAGATCCGCAGGAACAGAAAAGCTGCTTTTTTCACCCAAGGTTTCATTTTCACAGTTCCCTGCTTTCAAAAGGGGGACCAGGAGCCCAAAAGGGGACAGCTGCTGACTCCAAGAGAGAATAGGAATCCCGTTTGTTCAGGTTTAGAAAAGTTCAATGAATACTCCGGATTCTCCCAGGCTAGAAATAGGCTGTGCAAGAAATAAATAAAAAAAAGCAAGCCAGAAGTGACCACACCTCACCTGCTCTGGCTGGGCTCCAGGTCACCGACATCCTTCCCCATCACAGCAAGCTCCAGCGTCCCCAGCAGTCAAACACAGCCAATCCCCGCGCCACACTAAATGTGTAATGTTTTTAAAATCCTTCTCCACCTCGTACAGGAGGATTTTTTTTTACATGTGATGTACCTTGGCCATGAACTTGTGGGTAAACTGTTATCGAATGGCTTTACTAGCTGCCCTTTAAACATACCTTTCAAAACGAGCTGCTTCGACGGCAGAGCCTGCAGTAGCCAACAAAGATGCTGCGTGCCGACAGGTGCACAGAACCCAAGGGGCCACAGTCTGTCATTTTTACCTGTTTTAAAAGCTACCCCACTCCCAAACTACAGAGTTATCTTCCGAGGAGCCGCAGGTCACAGTCAGTGCAGTTTCTATTCGTCTCTCTCTGCTTACAGTCAGATTTGAGAAGCATGAAATAAGGTCTAACTTTGTCCTTTTGCACGCAAACACCTTCAAAGCAGACTGCAGGTCTCGAGCTCTTAATAAAGAAATCCTCTACGTGACTTGGGTCTGTAACCACTGCTGCCATTTAATAGCAGATATTTGAAAATACACCACCCAAAACATGAGCAGCTTCAGGTTTTCAGGTGTAGCACATAACATCCGTATTTCCCCCCGCAGCACTTGAACCACATCTCCCCGTTTCCTCAATCTCAACGTGCAAACACCACCTCGTCTTCCTCCTCCTCCCAAAGCAGCACGATCAGCGAGGCTCAACAGCTGCCCTAAGGATGCACCCACAACACACAACCCAACGAGGCGAAATCTGGAGAATTTTTTTAAATTTAAGAATTTTTTTAAGAGGCTACTTGAGTAGACATATGCTTTAAGAGCAAGCAGGGCATAGCAGTTGTGAAAAATCCACCAGAGTTTTGGGGCATCGCAAAAATCCTCATTTTCCCCACCATATGCCCTCGCATTAAAGGTTTTGAGAGCGTGACGCACACCGGACAGTCCCCACCACTCGGTGACCGCTGGATGTCACTGTTGCTTTAACCTCGGACACAAGGCAACGCAGAGTTTGCAGGAGGCTGGAAAGTTACCCCAAAAAACACGTAATCTTCCCCCGTAATCTTCCCCCAAAACCACGTAACATGTCGGTGTGGGCGTCAAGAAATAAATTTTATGGCAACTTGTTTTTCACTACACGGAAGTTTATTATGAAAGTTAAACGTACAACACAAAAAGTAGCAAAAGCAATCCTGTAGCTTAAGGCAACTCTTACAGGAGATGAATTCAAGAAAGATGATGCAACTTCAGTTTAAATAGAAATTACGAAAAATATCAAATTGCATCAATAACTTAAAATGCACCTTAAAAAGTCTGCGCTAACCAGCGGAGGGTAAGGGCTTGTGATCTTAATGCCAGCATTAAGATATCTAAAGCAGCAGGATGCTAACTGATGATAGGGAAAGTTCAGTATTTACACAAAGATAGCGACGTTAATATCCGATAGCATAATTTCCTGTGTACTCGTGGTTTAAAACCACCATCTGAAACGTTAGGGAAAAAAAAACCCTTTGAAAATAAATCTTCAGACTATTCCATCAAAAATACACAGACGGCAGAGAGGACCCAAGGCCGGGGATGCGTGCGGACGCATGCGTGTGTCCCTTAAATAACTCATTGCAGAAACGCTTTAGAAAAAATTGTTTCTTGGAAGAGGAAGAGGGGGGGAAGAAGAGCAAGAATACATGGCCACAGAGTGAAAAAGGTTATCTTTCAGGTGAATCACATTTAAATCGAAGTATCAAAATATTTTCTATTTGATGACATTCTCACAGTTGACAGTTACTGACATTTTGAAGTGAATGTTAAATATTCGTATTAATAACACAGAGTCTCCTTCACATTGACACCTGTTACACTTTTGCAAGACCTCTTCTGCATCAATTCTTTTGCTATGAATGAGGAATGTGATTATCTTCATTACAGAATTTAATAAAGATTTAACTGTTCTAACCACACAAGACCTTCAAAATAGTTCTTAAGATACTCAAGTCAGATCACTGGTTTTAAAAAGGTATTTCAGTGACACTTTAATTGATCGGGCCATACACAAAGCACCACATTTTTAACGAGCCAAATGACATCACATTTCCAATCGATTCTCTTCAAACAGTGGATGAAAAAAAAATATAAATCTGGAACAGGTCCATTCACCGTCACCCCAAAGAAAACGAGAGAATTCACACAGATTAACTCATCCCAAACCTTACCCTGTTAGAAAACACGATAGGTACTGCAATGTTGTCTTCATTTGCATAAGATTTAAGAGAAGTGCCCAGTCTGAGATTTTCTGCACACGACCTCGTCTTAACTTTTCACCGTTCGGCACAACGTTACAAAAAGCCCAAGATACAAAATATACTTAAAGCAGCTACCTGAAACGTGATTTAATACAGATCGCTCTTGTTCCCAGTTCTAATGCGCTGTTGAATCCCATTGTAGAGTTGCAGTATCCCTTTTAAGAACTATTTAAAAAAAATCCCTGAATAAAACGGAAGCCAGCCTGCGACTTCCTATGAGTTTCAGCAAAGTACTATATACAGGGGTATAAGAACCACCCAAACTCACTCGGAACACAATAAAATCTAGACAGGTACAGGGGCAGAACGCATTAATGCATGAAAACACACAATTTGAGGTTTTACCATTTAAGAAGTGGAACCAACGGATTGTTAGCAGTTAAAAGAATACTGCAACTGCAACGCTTACAAACCCACAGAGTTTGAAAACTGATTCCAACAGCTCCGATTCACTGGGTTTTGCTTGGAAATAATGCAAAATAATGTCAGCAGTTGTAAAGAAGGTCTTGCAAATTCAGAAAAAAAAGACAAAAATAAAAGGACAACTGAAAGAAAGATAAGAATGCATACCTAAAATAAAGCAGGAGCACAATAAGGACCAGTCAAAATTCCAAGAGCTCATATTAAAAAAAATTAAGCTTGGAATGCATTGGCTTCCAGCAGTTTAAAATAAACACAAAACAACCCCCCAAAAATGTTTTAAATCTGTAATATCTTGACCTATTTTTAAGTAACAATTTTTATTACAGTTGAGGGAAAAAAAAAAAAGGTTTTATAGCTGCATAAGTTTCCATTTCACTAAAATAGTGCCAACAAAAATAAGTTTGCATAGAAAAAAACTCCAAATTTCAAATTGCCACTGGCTACATGCTTAAAATGGGAAATGCAGGTATTGTGACATAAACATAGTGCAAACCATGGCAGCTCATGGTGGTTCTGACTGCCGCAGGTCAGGAAACAGACCATAGTCTAGCCAGTTATCACAGTTTCTGGTCTTTTATTAAATCCTTTGCCAAGTCGAAGCAATGCACGTGTGCAGAGCCGTGGTTACGCCTGCTGCGGTCGATTAACGTAGTTTGAGATCATCGCCACTCCCCAGGTTAGAGCCAGGACTAGGGTCTTGCTGTCTTCTTGCCTGCATTAACAAACACATATTTAGGATCCAAAAAAATGATTTTGAACTCATCAGTTTAGCTGATTTCTTCAGTTTATTGACATGACTAAGACACCAACCAATTCTAAGGCAAAGACTTTACGTTTCAAACTGTAGCCAATCCATTCATTTTTAAGAAGATAATTCTTCCCCCCTCAATTTAGTGACGCCCCCCCAAACCAACAGACACACACAAAACAAACGACTTCAACAAGTAGAATAGTTAGGCAACAATTAGACATTTTTTCTTCCCAAACACATTTTATTTCCTGTGGAATTCCCTTCTGTCAACCTTTTGTGTAACTGTTTTCAGGATTCAGATTTTGAGGAGAAAGGCAGCAGAGTATGTTACATCGTTTCCAAATACCTCTCCCCTCAATACTTGTATGTGGGGAAACATCTACTTTAGCTTTTTCTGGAATAGAACGACTTATAACCATCTAACAGGCTAGCACAATTTAATCCATAGACTGACACACATTTTAACACTTCTTAAAAGGTCGAGGTTTTACTGCAGCGTAATTTTTTTCCCTGTGGAGCACCTGTGAAGTTCACAATAACAAAAAAAAAACCTGTCAAAACTTATGATTGTGTCCCTGTATTTAAAAAAACCAAAAAGCAAAACCATGAGTTAAGTAACATAAGTTCTCCTTTAAATCAATTATTCTCTTAAGCAATTTGGAGTCGATCCCATTTTAAAGAGGAAATTAAGGATGGTCAGGCCTAACAGCATCAGTCACAACAGAAGCCACCGCTATCTATTTTCTCTACATCGCTGCTGCTATGCAAACCCACGGATTTCTCAGTAATCTTTCCGAGGAATCACATTAAAACAGTCGCAATCACGCGCGGCGCTGAAGATTTGAAGTGCTAAAGGGCACATTCCCTTCAGCCCCCGAAGCAACTTGTGCTACCTGCCCTCTTCACAAGAGAGGCAAATATCGGCAGATGACGTTTAATTGAGGTTTTCACGTTATTTCCAAAAGCCAAATCGCTCAGCTTCGACTACGAAGATCACTATGGAAAAGTCAAGGAGGAAAAGCCCTTACTTTTCTTCAACGGGGAAATAAACTGTGCTGTGAAGATTTTTTTCATGGTTGAAAAAGTCTAAATAGATACTTCTCTGCTAATTTAAGAGTTGTACCAAAGGATAAGAGTTCCACCTTGCATATTTTTCTCAGTATTCTTTTTTCCTCAGGAGTTCTTCTGATTTTAACTGCTCCCTCTTTCTTCTAAAAGGAAACAAAGGCACATAGCGCCTTTAAGAATTACCAAAATCTTACTGAAACCAATCTAGTTACCAATTTTGTATCAATAAACATTTTTACACCTAACCAGAGAAAATCCGCAAGTTACCTTCTGCTAGACTACTGCTCTAAAATCAGCAGTTTCTTCTTTGGAAAACAAATCACATCCACAGCAATTTTGTTGTCAGATTTCAGTGAAAACTCCCAAGGTATGGGCATATGGTTGCATTTAAGCTTTGCCTAAAGTGGCCTTTTCTTTCAAAACACATGAAAGAATTCACATGATTCATGACCTCATCGCTACTTGTAGAGTTTGCAGAAGCCACTACTGAACAACTACCAGATTTACCCTTTCAAGCGATATACAAAAGTCACGACAAATTACCCTCAAATGTAGCAAAAGCGGTCATTACAATATCTTACACTGGTATATGGGGATAAAGGTGTAATTTTGCATTTCAGTAAGTGGGGATTTTACACAAGCAACTGCGAAACGTCGGAATGACAGCTCCGCCTCGCCCAGACACCCTCCTTTACTTGCGGCTTTAGTACTACGAAAGAAAATGCACACAGAAAACACGCTTATTCTTTCTGTCACCAACTCGCCAAGGCACACGGGCACAGTACATAACAGCTACAATTGTGCTTCACACGCTGAAAAAAGAAAATAAAATGTAAAAGCGCCGTTTATGTACGTATCTAAGAAAAAAACCATCTGTCAAAGGTCAAAGAAACTGCCTTGCCCACAGCCAGCAAGCACGCTGCAGAGCATCACACATTGGGTGGTATTTTTATCCACTGACAAGGGGCAAAATACAATTTTCATAAGAAATGCCACAAGATCCTTAACACTTAGTGGCAGGAGGGGTGCGCCTGCCACTATGGTAGTACCTGATTGTTCTTTTCAGTCTATTACAGGAAGCTAAAAGTTCTCTTTCGTAGACATAAAATGGCAATTTCCAGAATTCTCCCAGTTTGGGGTCCCCTACCCTCCTCATCGCTAACCAACCCTCCGCATCGCAGCATTTGCCGCAGTTTTTGAGACGCACACCTTACGACGTCACGCAGAAGCATCAGAATTACTCTTGGTGAATAACGAGCTCAGTTTCTCCAAGATTAAGGAGACTTGCTTCAATTAAGCAAGATGCATCTATCTCTGCCATTGGGAAATGGAATACTGCCATGAGTCACGCATAACGAGTCATGAGAAAACAGCAGTTATTCATCTTACCTCAGCATATTTCATTTTTCAGTCAAATGCTGATTTTAAGTCTGCAGGAGCACTACTTCAAGTGATATTCATCTGGTGTTTAGTGAATGGCTAACACGTATTCGCTTGTGAGAAAAAATAAACAGTACGCAGATCCCATCGTAGTTGTATTTTTTCTAAAAATGAACACATTTTAAACAACGCTGCCACTTTCCTTGCAAATATTCTGAAACTGAAGAGTTAAAAGGACGGGAGTTTCGATGCCCCACAAAATTTCACACTCAGCTTTCAGCACATGAAGCCGTGCAAACCGTGTGCAATACGGAAGGAATTATAACTGGCGGTGAGCCATTGAAAACCTCCGACGCTGGAGACAGTATGATGACCGACTGAAAGAATTGCAGGAACGTATTTGGCACAAAAAAGAAACATTTCAAAGCCTCCTATAACATGCTCTTCTAGATTTATTGACACTGAATACGTAAGGCTGGTACCACAGGGGTAATGACATCCTAACAAACACGAGAAGAGCCCCCAACAAAGTCATTTGGACTTGCTTGTGGCTGAACGACCACAAAAGATAGCCCCTGCGATACTCTCACACCTACGCTCTCTTCAGCCCTCATCTCTGAGCTTTTCCCCAGCCTAAACATGGGCTAACTGCTACGGGCTGAGAGTCAGAGCAAGAGTACGACGCAGTAATATTTGTATTGCATTGGTCGTCTTCCTCGAAATCATCAAATCGCCACCTCTGAATTGTGACTCTTTTGGACAAGGCTGATGTTGCAGCATTTACATCTTTTACTGGGGCACTTTGGAAAAACAAATCTAAGACTAACGGCAGTTAAGGAAGGTGGCACACAAGCAGTTCATCCAGCAGCCAAGAAGACAGTCAAGACATCAATCGTCCTCTTCCTCCTCTGGCCTCTCAATCCTGACCCGGGGTGCAGCTGATCGTGCTTTCAACAATAAAACTCTTTAAGCTGTTTTTTGAGTAAGCAGCTGGAACTACCCCCTTCTTCCTGTGTGTGTGTGTGTGTGTTTTCAGAGTCCTCCAACGTACCTAAGGAAACCAACTCTTCACCGCACGAGATCACCAGGAACAGATAACGTGGTCCCACCGCGCCGCTTACACACCAGCTCTGAGAAAGCAGAACTGGGAAAGCTGGGAGGTAAAGTTAGTAAGGATGGACGGGCTTGCCATGAAGGTGGCCCTTCTTTTTCACTGAATCACTTACAAAAACCTGAGCAGGCAAAACTGGTACCTCTGAAATCAGAAGCACGAGGATATGTACTGCACACATGTGACTTGGGACATGGGTGCAGAGGAGGGAAGGAAGAGGAGGATAACTTGAAGAAAGGCTCTCACAAAGAGTAGCCAAAATAAAGTCTCTCCATGGACCACTCCACTGCAATTCTTTAATTGGATTCTGGCAACTCCATACCGCTGAAACAGAGAGAGCAGACGCATTATGTGCCTTGGCATCTGTCATCTATAATTTACTAAATAAGTGAAAAATCAGGCTATGTCATGAAAAACTAAACAGAGAACATTTGGATCCTCTTAGAAGGACCGTCAACCTCCTGAAAAGGATTTTAAAAAACAAACCTGAGAACACACTGCAGATAGTTTTCTAAAAAGCATACAACCACTGGACAAACAAAAAAAGCACCCTGCAAGAAAAATAAATACAGAGCAATAGTCAGAGAAGTGACCAGTTTGAATCAAGCACACCTCCACAGCGCTCCTGCTAACTGAGGCTCACATGCATTGAAAAAAGCAACAAATGAAAACTCTTCTCGGAGCTTCTGGTTAATAACAGCCTCTCCTGTGGAGACTGGTACATGGTTAAAATTCTGGCCATGCCTCCTCTTCAGCTACCCTCACTCTGTAGAAGGGTAAGGGTGAGGAATCAGCCTCCTTAGAATTAAATGCAGCAAATGCAGGCCACCACCCACAGTTAGAAGGACAGCTTGTACCTAACAGAACTTCCTCTGGTCACAGCTAGAACCCGGTGAACCACCCTGTGCGCTTTCAGGTCTCTGGGGGGCTTGAAAATGCCACTCTTGCCTGGCAATTTTCACTTCTCAGAACAAGTTCAGCTCCAGCAGCAAAGGGACCCTAGCATCACTCCACACCGTGCCTGTAAGCCACTGGCAGGCAGTCAGGACTCTGATTTTGACCACGTTCTCAGCAGGCGTAGCCACGCAAATCATGCAAATAATGGAGAACAGTCTCTGAAATTTGCTGAGAGACCTGGATGTTAGTCCTCGTAGAATGATTAATGTTGATATGAGTTCTGTACCCCATGCTCTTCCATTCCTACATCCATTCTGACTGCCTTTCAGGCTCACTGAAAGCCAAACGTCTTGACAAAGGGCACAGATTAAAAAAAAAATAATAATGAGAAAATATCATTTAGCACCCACCTCCATCAAGGTCTCCTTTCAAGCTTCCGACAATCTACTTCCTAGAACGGAGTCCTCTTCCCTAACAACACACAGCGGCGGCGGGATGCTCGGAG